AGTAACTGGTGGGAATGTGGGTGCAGGTTTCTCTTATGAAGAGGGTCTGTGGGTGGGATGCATAGGCATTGTCTACTTTTTGTCATTGATTCAGTGGTGCAAGAGCTGTTGATGTTGTTCCTTCTGTTGAGTGAGGAGGTTGGTGCAGTAGATATGGCAGACTAGTGGAGGGTTAATATCCTCTTCCAATTGGATGGGACAAGGGAAAAATACACAGTAAACAGAAAAAGAATTGAAACAAAGAAAAATTTAAAAAGGAGGTGAGGTGAATGAAAAAAAGATTGGTATATATAAAAGAAGAGGGAGAAATGAACCAATAAGGAGGAAAAATTAGCAAAAAAAAGCAAAGGAAAGATGTGAGAAAGATAAAGAGAAAAAGGTAAAAAACAAAGGAGAAGAGACTTTTGTAGTTATGGTCAGCCTGCAGCCCTTGGGATAGGCTTTTGTGGTGCAATCCAGTGGGTATCTGTCTGCAGTGTCTCTGTCTCCATATGGATTCCATTAGTTGATTTGTCCTCATCCCTGTATGATGCCTCTGTGAGTTAAAATGACCACAGTAGTCCGGTCTTAGCTGCTTATGTCTTCCCAGTCACCCTCCTCACTCTGTCTCACTTTCCGGTCAATGCTCAGTTTAATTCTTTATCCTGTCATTTGATGCTCAGAGTTCCAGGATCATTATTTGTACCTGTTTCACTCATTGTTTCCAGGTCTTGGTTGTAGAGGGATTGGCCAGAATGTGTTAGCAGGACACCATCATATCTCTGCCTCCTTCCAAGTGGTCTGTTGATTTTTTGTTGTTTGTTTTTAATTTTAGCTGTTGTATTTTTAATTTCCAAGAGGTTTTCTTTGTCTTCTTATTGTTCTTTTAACATATTATTCTTTCTTTATGTACACATTAGCTTCTCTTGTGCTCTGGTGGCACAGTGGATAAAGCACTTGGCTGCTCACCAAAAGGTGAGCAGTTTCAAGCTACCAGTGGCTCCATGGGAGAAAGATGTGACAATATGCTTCTGTAAAGACTTAACAGCATTGGAAATGCTATGAGGCAGTTCTACTCTGTCCTGTAGGGTTGCTACGAGTTGGAACGTATAGTGGGTTTAATTTATCTCCCCAAGTATAGTTTTGAAGTTTTCTTTTGTTCCCACCATTACCTCTGTTTTCTTCAGGTTCCTTATTGGTTTTTGTTTGGACTTTCTTTAATATTCATAGTTTTCTTCAAAAGCCAAATGTCTAGTCATAGTTAGGAGTAAGGCACGATAGAGCTCATTGGAAGCTCTTTGCATGGGTGGGACTTGCCTGCAGTCTCTTGCCCTCCTCACTGGCTGACATTCCAGGGATGGGGTGGAGCTGAGTACAAAGGTCAAAGTAGACTTTCTATTATATTAATTCTCTCTGTTTAGCTTTAAGTCTCGCCATTACCTTCTGTAACTGAAATCCTCCTCCCCCAAAAGCCTGACATTTTCCAGAAATAAACAGTTCTTGCCTAGCTGAGCTAGAGGGAAAAGGACCACTACACAAAATAAACACTTTCAAATAAAACTATTTGTAGTTCTGTGCCTTGCTCTTGTCTTCCACTGTTTCTGATGACTTTAAATTCCAGACCTCTCAGGAGTTCTTCAGGGAAGAAAGCTTTCCTTTTTGAGCCGTTTTCACTGGGAACTGTAGCTGCCAAGGGAAAGGTGGAGGCTTGAGTCCACACACACAGGTGCCTTGGGAAAGAAAGGCCTGGCAGTCTACTTCCAAAACATGAGCACTTACGAACCCCCTGGAGGACAGTTCTACCCTGACACACGTGGGGTCGTCTTGTGTTGGAATCAACTCAGTGCAGCTGATCCGCATATGTGGGTACTATACTCATCATTTTTAGAGATGGGGTATTTTTCATGGAAAAGTTCATGGGTTGGTGGAATCTTTTGAAAAAATTACCTTTATCAAAATATTTTATTGTAAATATAATCAATTTTGGAGGCCCATACAACTGTATTTGAATTCCAGCTATTCCATTTAACTAGCTATTTAACCCTGGAAACTACTTAATCACCCTGACCCTCAGTTTCATAGTCTGTTAAATGACCATAACAATACCTATTTCATTTAGTGAACATTAAATAAAACATTAAGCACTTGATATACAATACCTGGATAGTAAGTAGATGCATAGTAATAAGGCTTTTATTATATTCTTTTTCCTAACAGTATTTTCTCCACTTTCACTTTTAAGTAAAATCTATATACACATTTTAGATTTTTTTTAATGCATTTTATTGAAATATAATTTATGTACAGTGAAATACACAAAACTCAAGTGACATAGGTCATTGCTATTTTTTTTTTTTTCAGTGTTCCCTCCCCTCCCCTCCCACCCCTAGCAACCAGCAAAGAAAGTTTCCCTCCATATGTAAACCTTTCCTTGACCCTCCACAACAATGAACTAATACTATATTTGTCCTGTGATTGACCTATTTCACTAAGCATAATGTCCTCCAAGTTCATCCATATTATGCGGGGATTTTCAGACTCTACATTATTCTTTAGTGCTTCATAGCATTTCATTATGTGTATGTACCATAGTTTGGTCATCCACTGTTCCACTGATGGACATGTAGGTGGTTTCCATGTTTTTGCTATTGTAAATAGTGCTGCGATGAACATATATCTGATGTGCATATATCTGTTCCTGTCCTGGATCTCACCTCTTTAGGATATATACCTAGTAATGGGTTTACTGGGTCAAATGGTATTGTAATGGTAATGGTATTGCTGGGTCCAATTCTAGCTTTCTAAGGAATCACCACATTGTTTTCCACAGTGGTTGTATCACTTCACAGTCCCACCAGCAGTGTATGAAAGTCCCAGTCTCTCCACATTCCCATCAACATTTGTTATTTTCTGTCTTGTTGAACCTTGCCATCAGTGTTGGAGTGAGACGGTTTTGATTTGCATCTCTCTGATGGCCAATGATTGTGAACATCTCTTCATGTATTAGCTGGCCCTGAATATCCTCCTTGGAGATGTGTCTATTCATGTTTTCTGCCCATTTTTTAATTGGATTGTTAATTCCTGTGGAGGCGTTGGAGTTTTCTATAAATCTTAGAGATAAGTCCCTTGCCAGCTATGTAATTATCAGCAAATATGAATTTGTCACTGTCACTTTTGTTATGTGCTTTTTTGTGGTGTCGATTTCTTTGTTCCATGTAATTTTCTATGCTGAGCTTGTTTTGTTTATGAATTGTGTTATCACTTGTTTTGTCGGCATTCTTTTAGTATTTGCTAAATATTTGTGCTGGTCCTCTTTTTTATTTTGATGTGAAGGTTTATCATTTTTCTTTGAGGTTACCCTGTGATTTATAGTTTTCTTCCCAAATTTAGAACAGTCCATTCTATCTTGTAGTTGTCTTGACATCCCTACCATCTAGAAGTTCTGTAATGACACAGTTTTTCCCTCTTTTTGATTTGTAGTTATCTTCATTTGTCAGTCGATCTCTCTGGTTCCCTGTTTACTATCTTGTAGGCTTATTTACTTTAGATACTTTTTAGTTTCTTGATGCTATTTAGGAAATAATGATCCATATTCTAATTGGAAACTTGTTGTCTTGCTGTGTGGTCCAAGTAGAAGTCAATGTAAATTGAATTTAAGACCTATTTTGTGGTTGAGTCACTCAGACAACATTATGACGTGCCTCTAGAATGTTTTGTTTTTGAGTTTAATGTAAACAATTTTAGAGTATTTCAGGATTAAAAATTAAATCCATATGTTTGAATAACATATAGGCATTTCCCAAGGAATATCCATTCTACCTTATGAATCTACTGCTGTAAAGCCTATTATATTAAAAATTCGAGGTACATGCAATGGTTTGTAATAATAAACAAGCTACTTTGCAATGAGCATCAAAACTTTATTCTTACTGTGTTATTATTACGTTAAAGATGTTTTAATGTATCTCAAAATATTTAATATTTTAATGCATAGAAAGACACACTATATCCGATATACTAAGACTAACATGGGTTCTCTAAGGAGCTCTGGTAGCATAGTGGCTAAGACGCTTGCCTGCTAACCAGACGTTCGGCTGTTCAAACCCACCAGCCACTCCTCGGAAGGAAGGTTGGGCAATCCTACTTCTGTAGTGATACTGCCTCGGAAACCCAAGGAGGGGTCGCTATGAGTCAGGTTTGACTCGATGGCACATAACAACAACATGGGTTCTCTGGTGGCATAGTGCCTAAAGCATTTGACTGCTAACCAGAAAGCTGGGTGGTTCAAACTCACCAGCTACTCCTCAGAAGGAAGATTAGGCAATTTATTTCTGTAGAGATACTACCTCAGAAACCCAAGGAGTGGTCACTATGAGCAGAAATGACTTGACAGCAGTGAGTTTGGTCTGTCTGATTTTAGATACGAACCATATTTAATTATTCCAACTTATGTACAAATTAGACTTACAGACAGACTTAGAAACAGAACTCGTTCGTAGTCCGGGGACTGCCTGCATTACCAGGCTTGGTGAAAAAGAACTTATTTCTTGACTAACTCCCAGAAGTAAAATTATTTAATTTTCACTGTAAATTTAGAATCTACAATTAAAATTCAAAATTAAATATTTTGTGAATAGTGTTTTAACTAATAAAATCACAGTGATAGTCCTTCATGCTTTATCAATTGGTTAGAAACCTCTGTGTATTATAAACATCATTCATATGTCTTGATCCTTTATAAAGGAACTAAGTAAATATGAACCAATGCTTGAAGATAAAACTGAACTTTTTCTTAATATATTTCAGATTTATCTTGTTTCTTAAGACTATTCTGCATTAATCCTTAGCTCTTTACTCCCTATCACAGGGGTTAAGACATTTAAAGAGAAAAATAAACTTAATAAGTCTGTGAAATTTAAAATTTTATATTAGAAATACTCCTATATAGTACAAATATAGAAGTGTCTTTTTTATTACTATTATAAATTGAGCCAATATTAGTAAATGCTTGTTTCTTGTAGGAATCACAGTGCATTGATAACCAGTGTAGTCCCTGGAGATTATGATGGAGATTCACAAATGGATGTCCTTTTGACGTATCTTCCCAAAACTCATGCCAACAGTGATTTGGGAGTTGTTATCTTCTGGGGACAAAATCAAACATTAGGTAAACTTCTTGTAAGAGTTTTTAGTATTTATCATTGGTTATTGAAGGAAAAATACGGGTGTTATTCTTAGGTAAATAGACCTAGAATGTTGTTCTGAAATCAATTCAGAAATATGGTTTTTAAATGTCAGTAATTAGCTAGACAGTTTTTTTTACAGTTTATTTTTTGATTTTTTCTTTTTCAACCCAGAACTGGTCTGGGGTCATTTACTGAGAATAAAATTCACTCTTGATAGCTTAAGAAAGAAACATGTATTGAAGGCTTTCTGTGGCATAAAGAATAATTAGGACAGATCCTTAGGTTGAGCTGTGCCCAGAGCCATCAAGGAAGCTGTCTGTTGCCTCTGACTATCAGATGGTAGACCGCTATGCAGCAACTGCAAGAATGACCCTGTGCTTGCTGCTGTTCTCGCTTACAGGCAAATGGGTGCCCTGCATTGAGTCTCTTGACACTCATGTATTCATGATCAGAGACTAAGAAATAGCAGAAGCATGACCTTCTTCTTACTTCTGCCTTCAAAACCCACAGTGTATCTGATTGGCAAGGCTTAAATTTTATTCAGAATGTAAGGTGCACTGTTATCTGGGAAATGATATTATTGGTTCCTAGTCTCCCCAGTAAGGAGCTGTGGTTACACTGTGGCTAAAGCATTGGTTTGAACCAACCAGCCACTCTTCAGGAGAAAGATGCGGCATTCTGCTTCTGTAAAAATTTACAGCCTTGGAAACCCTATGGGGCAGTTTCTGCTGTGTCCTATAGGATTGCTATGAGTCAAAACTGACTCCATGGTACTGGGTTTTTTGTTTGTTTATTTAATCTCCTCAATGTAAGAATGCACAAAAAAGGCTTGAATGGAGATTGAGAGCCAGTCTACTGTACCTACCAACAAATTTCACCTATTGTAAGAAGGGCCAATCAGTTATGGCTAAATAGACTATTTTATTCATGGACCTATATTTCAAGGAAGTAACTTTTGGGAATATAACTGTATGTCTGTTCAATAAATGTGTATTTAAAAAGTATGACTACATTCTATGGCACTGCTTTTATATAGCCTGGACATTTCAGAGTCAGATACTTTTGTATATATTGGCTTATTTACATCAAAACTTTATTAATTGTCAATCTAGCCAATATAAATTGTGTATAAAGAAGGCTCATCTAAGGGATTTTCAGATTTAAGCCTCAACAGGAAACAATTGTAATGCTTGGTCTTCATTACAGAATGAACTCTCCCTTCTTGTAGTATGTTATCTTTACAAATTTGATGTCCACTTAAGTTCAGTTTATGATGTCTTATTAGTAATAACCCTGCTGCCATGGAGTTGATTCCAACTCACAGTGACCCTATTGGAAAGAGTAGAACTTCCCCATGGAGTTTTCAAGGCTGTAAATATTTACAGAAACATTGTGTCATTTTTCTCCCACAGAGTGGCTGTAGGTTCCAACTGCTGACCTTGTGGTTAGCAGACAAATGCTTTAACCACTGTGCTGCCAGAGCTCCTTATTAGTGGTAATACCTGGAATAAATTAGAAAGTAGTCTTGAAAAGCATAAAAGAATATTTTCCCTTTAAGTGTAGATACCAAAAATAATATATGCATTGTCTACTCTGTATTTTTTCTTTCTATACAGATCCTAACAATATGACCATACTCAATAGGACCTTTCAAGATGAACCACTAATTATGGAGTAAGTATGAACTTGCTTCCCTTTGAAAGATTTTACATTTACAAATATAAAATAAAATCTTTTGCATAGGAAATTACTTTGCAAATTAGTATTGATACAAAATTTACCCTCCCCGGTTGGCTGTAATAATGGGCTCAAACATAGAAGAAGTTATGAGGATGGTGCAGGACCAGCAGTGCTTTGTTCTTTGCACATAGGGTTGCTGTGAGTCAGCACTGACTCACAGCACCTGACAACAGCAGCTAAAGGTGATACGGGCCTGTCCGCTTGGTTACATGATATGTATTTATTTCTCATGGTGGGATGAACAAAAAACCAAGCCTACTGCCACTGAGTCAATACTGACTCATAGTGACCAGCATTGGGTTTCTTTATGGAAGTAGATTTCCCTATTTCTTCTTTTGTGGAATGGCTGGTGGGTTTGAACCACCAAATGCCTTAGACATTCTACCACTAGAACTTCTTATGATGAAATAAAGAGAACCAAAAATTAGAATTTTGGAAGAAGGAAGAGGTTTGTAGGTTTTGTTTGTTTTTTTCCCCCAATAGCTTTGAATGAATTCCACTTGGATTTCTGTTGATTTTGGCCATGCTATTACTCAAAATATTAGTGCATGATTGACAGATAAGAAAGATGTAGGATTTCTACCAGATATTTAGAAAGATTTCTGTATGAGAAATTTTTGTCCTTTTTTTACAGGTTTATCTTAGTGTTATCATTTATTTCCTTAAAATAGACTCATATATCATGATAGATTTAATCTACATTTCTGGCAGGATTTTTATGGCAGTGGAATAGAGATCATTCTTGGAGCAACGTATAGCTGCATTCCTGTTTCCACTACTGCTTTTCTTAACAGTTATTAAAATCAAAGTCATACATCAGTATAGGTCACTGGCTGTTATAAGTCTGAACTATAAATTAATTTTTAATCTTAAGGACACTCAGCTTGATTTCTTTCATAATTGTATATCTTTTTCATTGTTGTTACAATATTCACTGTCCAGTATGAATGTTTATACAAGCTAAAGATTCTTTCTGGGAGTTATTTTTCTTAAGCCCATCTAACTAAACAAGTTGAGTCAAGATTCTATTGTAAGTTTTTTTAGGAATTAGTGCTGTCTTCTTATCACTCAGAGATAGGTTAGATTGGGTACAGGTTGTAGAAAACCCCAAAATCTTACAACAAAAGTTTATACCTTGCTCACAGTAAATGTCTTGTGTAGTTCAGTGATAGTCTGTGCTTTGTGCCATCACTCAGAGTCAGGCTGTCAAAGGTTTCAACATCTTTGTAGCTGAACCATCTGAAACACATACTCTTCTCATTACCATAGCAGATTTAGAGGGGACTGGAGGGTCCACCAACAGAAATTAAATGCTTTGGCCTGGAAGTGACACATCACCTCTGTTCACATATCATTGACTACAGCTAAATACTCGTGAGCATTGTAATGTCTACTATACTTTCCAAAAGTTTGTTTTTGTTTTTAAAGCTAAGTGAGAGGATTAGAATTAAAAACAAACAGACAAAAAATAGCTTAATGTATTTAACATTTCCTTTTCAGCTTCAATGGTGATTTAATTCCAGATGTATTTGGTATCACAAATGAATCCAACCAGCCACAGATACTACTGGGAGGGTGAGTAAATATCATTATACAGGGCAATTAATTGTATGTATTATTGCTGCAACAGGGTATATATGTGTTTGTGAACTGACTGTTTTAAACATTGAGAGGTGGGGTGGTAGAATCGAGCTCATTTGAAATCCTGTTCTAACAGATTTTTAAAAGGGTGTTTTTTTACCACGTAAGCTTTCTGAAACTAATTGGATTTGATCTACAACTGCTTGGTTTGTAGATACAGTTAACTCTGGAAATTAGAGATACAAACTTGACAGATCCTCCTTTAAATAATGATTCAGTCTCACATTCACTGCTGTCAAGTTGGTCACAACCCATAGCGACCCTTTCTTGGGTTTCCAAGAAGGTATCTCTATGGAAGTAGATTGCCCATTCTTCCTTCCAAGGAGTGGCTGGTAGGTTTGAACCACCAGCCTTCTGGTTAGCAGTCAAATGCTTAGGCACTACGCCACGAGCGCTCTTTAAATAATGGTTAGTTAGATGTTTTTAAACATGGAAGGATTTAGTTTAAATTGGATAAATATATGAAACTTAGATTGGCTCTTTCGCCATAATCACAATAGCTTCCAAACTTTGTTCTCTTTTTCATTCATTTTTTCAGTGACCAATCAGTAATTCCATAACAATATAAACATTCCTCTTTGAAGCTCTAAAAACTTTTCAGCATGTGTCTTATTACTGACCAGTGTGTCCTGCCAGACTGTAGGACTCTCTTGTTACCAAAACATGCCATTGTTCTCTTAGGAAAAACTGCCTGAAAACTTGCAGTTCAAAGATCTCTATTATAATTTCTCTGGATTTAAATAAAACAATACTTTATACAAGAATTCTTGATAGCAGGAGTTTGTTGTTTTTAAAACTAAGTGAAAAGAGTAGAATTTAATAAAATTCATTTGTTCATGCGATGGCTTCAACTTGATTAGTTTGTTTCTATATTTTATAAGGCAAAGTTTAGTTCCAGAGTACAGAACATGTTAAGTATATTGGTTTTACAGGTAGCGCAGAGAACCACCTTTGTCAATTGTCATGCTCAGTTACTTGGATCACTATTTGTCTGTCAGTTGGTCACACTGTGATGGCTTGCATGTTGCTGTGAGGTTAGAAGCTATGTTAACAATATTTTAAAAACTAGCAAGGTGACCCACAGTGGACAAATTTCAGTGAAGCTTCCAGATTAAAACAGACTAGGAAGAAGGACATGACCAGGTCCATTTCTGAAAAAATTGGCCACTGAAAACTTTATGAATAGCAATGAAATATTGTCCAATATAGTAACAGAAGATGGGCCCGTTAGGTTGGAAGGCACTCAGAGTACAACTGGAGAAGAGCTGCCTTCTCAAAGTAGACTTGACGTTAATGGTATGGATGAAGAAAAGCTATGAAGAACTTTACTTGCTGATGGGACACTACTCTAAATGAGAAGCAGCAGCTGAAAGCATTCATTGGTAATTGCAACATGGAATGTATGAAGTATAAATACAGGAGAACTGTAAGGTGTCAAAACTAAAGTGGAAGGCATGAAGATCATAGGCATTATAATATGAGCTGAAATGAACTGGTATTGGCCATTTTGAATCAGATAATCAGATGGTCTATTTTACCAGGAAGGACAAATTGAAGAGGAATGGTGTCACAATCATTGCCAAAAAGAACATTTTAAGATCTGCTCTGAAGTACAGTACTGATAGTAAAAGAATAATAGACATACACTTACAAAGAAGAACAGTTATTACACCTGCTATTCAAGTTTACATACCAACCAGTAATGCCAAACATAAAGAAATTGAAGATTTTCACCAACTTCTGCAGTCAGAAATTGACCAAAATGCAATCAAGATGTATTGATAATTACAGGTGATTGGAATGTGAAAGTTGCAAACAAAGAAAAAGTGTCAGTACCATTGAGAGAAGCTCAGTATCATCAGTCAGAACAAGGCCAGGGGCTGCTGTGGAACAGACCATCAGTTGCTCATACACAAGTTTAAGTTGAGGCTGAAGGAAATTAAAACAAGTTCCTGAGAGCCAAAATACGACCTTGAGTATGTCCCATCAGAATTTAGAAACCATCTGAGGGATATATTTGACCTATTGAACACCAGTGACCAAAGACCAGACAAGTTGTGTGATGACACCTAGGACGTCATACATGAAGCAAGCAAAAGGTTATTTAAAAGGCATGAAAGGAAGAAAAGGCCAAAGTGGATGTCAGAAGAGACTGTGAAACTTGATCTTGAATGAAAAGAAGCTAAAGCGAAGGAAAGAAATGATGACTGCAAGAGCTGAACAGAAAAATTCAAAGGGTGTCTCAATAAGACAAACTAAAGTATTACAATGAAATACCTGGAGTTAGAAAATTAAAAGGGAAGAACATAGCTGGCATTTCTGAAGCTGAAAGAACTGAAGAAAAAAAAATTTCAAGCACCAATTGGCAGTATTGAAGGATTCTAAGGATAAAAACAAAAGAAGCATCAAAAGAAAGTGGAAGGAGTAAACAGAGTCACTGTACCAAAAAGAATTTGTCGACGTTCAACTATTTCAGAAGGTTGTGTGTGATCAAGAACTAATGGTATTGAAGAAATCCAAGCTACACTGAAGGAATTTGTGAAAATTAAGGCTCCATGAATTGACAGAATACTCACTGAGATCTTTCAACAATGATACAGTGCTGCTCGTTCAGTTATGTGAAGAAATTTGACAAATACCTAGCTGCAACTAGAAGAGATCTATGTTTGTGTCCATACCAAAGAAAGGTAATCCAACAGAATGGGGAAATTATCAAAGAATATCATTAATATCACATGTAAGTATAATTTTGCTGAAGATAATTAGAAAACGATTGCAGCAGTATATTGACAGAGATCTGCCAGAAATTCAAGCCAGATTTAAAAGAGGACATGGAACAAGGAATATTGCTGATGGCAGATGAATCTTGACTGAAAGCAAAAAATGTTTACTTGTGTTTTATTGACTATGCAAAGGCATTTGGTTATGTAGCTTGTAACTAATTATGGATTACATTGCAAAGAATGGAAATTCCAGAACACTTAATTGTGCTCATAAGGAACCTGTACATAAACCAAGAGGGAGTCATTCAGATAGAACAAGGGGATACTAAATGCTTTAAAATTAGGAAAGATGTGATTTTATTTACTCAGTTAATATGCTGAGCAAATAATCCGTGGAGCTGCACTATATGAAGAACGTAGCATCAGGATTGAACAAAGACCCACTAACAACCTGTGATATACTGATGACACAAGCTTGCTTGCTGAAAGTGAAAAGACTTTAAACACTTACTGATTGTCTTAGGCTGGCTTCTCTTGAGAAGAAAAACAAGTAAAGTTTACATACACGGGGAGAAAAACTTATCTCAAGAAAGTGACTCATGCAATTGTAAAGGCTAACAAGTCTCAAATCCCTGGGTCAAACATCAAGCATCTCCTGCCTCACATAGCTGCAGGAGCTAATGAACTCAAGATGAGAAGTCAGGATAGCAGATGCTGGCTGTGGAGGCTGACAAATCCAAGATGGGCAGGTAAAATGGCAGATTGTTGGTTCACAGGGTATGAAGGCAACAGTTCGGAAATCAGCAGGCAGTATGGCAGGCCACTGGTTCAAGTCCAGATGATGATGAGCCAGATATAGGATCCAGAGCAAAAAGCCAGAGATCTTTGCCAGGACATCCATATATATTAGAAGCAAGCAACACCCCTGAGAAAACTCCCTTTGAACTGACAGGCTGCTCACAGCAGAGCTCATCATGGAAGTTACTACATTATGTCAGATCTCATCATGGAGAATTGACTACATAGTAAGTGCTAAACCACTAAGAATCATGGCCCAGTTAAGGTGACATGTAGCCTTGACTATCACACTCCACCCTTTGTCGACTTAGCACCTATATATGTCTCCTTCAGGCATACATGATCTCTAATTAAAGACAACGATAAGGTCATGCTTGTGCCTAACATGATATAAGTAACATACATAAAATCAAAAACACATTAGCCTCTTTTACATCTTATATTTTATAACTGATGAAAACAAAAAAATATTTGTTGCACACATACAAGGAAAGAATACTCATAACAGTAACTGTCCTCATTTCTGCAGTTAGTCATGTTGTTGTAGCTAGTATTTGGAACTACCTTCTCCCACGACCCTTCTGTATTCCCTTTTTCCTCAACAAGCAGCTCAGCTGGTCATGTTTTTTTTTTCCCCTGGTGGGATGATCAAATGAAATTTAGGGGCTAAGTTTCCCCACCATTTTGATTTTCTGCCCATATGACACATCAAAAGTTTCAGGATCCCATTTCTTCCCAATCAGTGCCCTCACTTTAACTGCAGACACTGTTTGAGGTTGACAATTCAATCGGTGTTGTAATTCAGCAACTCTTGTGATTAGATTCTGGGTTTGGTTTTCAGCATTTCAGCTCTGGTACGACAAGAAATAAATTTTTCTTTCAGAGTGCAGGTGGAAATATTGAGGTCTTTTATGCAGCACTTGAGCCGTGACCCCGAAGCCCTGTACTCATCTGTTTTCACCCCTTTGTCTAGAGGACATAGGTCAACCAACCAGCTTCCTTATAGTCCTCATTCTGAAACAAATTGCAGAAAAGTAACAAACACGTGATCACCAGAGCCTTACTTCTCAGCAGTACTTGATCTGTTGCTGGTGCTGTTTTGTGTGTTAACATTGTCACCTCATGCTGTGGATTAGCAGCACTGTCCTTACTAATGGAGACAGAGTCATCAGCGTCTGTACAACTAATCAAACTTGAGAACCAATGTAGAAAATACATCCTTATGACTTTTTTCTTTAGATGCCACTCTGGGTACAAAATACGTTAATCTGGGTTCTCTAGAAATATATTCTCAGAAATATAAAAGTATGTTATTTATTTATATCACTTTGAAAGCTAAGGTGGCCCTGACCCAAACCATGGTATTATCAATAGCCTCATATGTACGTGAGAGTTGCACAATGAATAAGGAAC